GGGGACCCGAGTCTGACGGTCGCCGGGGACAGACGAGCTGCGCCCGGGGCACCGGGAGGACGCCGCACCTCGCCGAGTTCTCGGGCTCCATCCGCCTTGAAACGGACTGAACGTGTTTCCAGGCGGGCTCAGGTAGGAAGCGGCAAGGAAGCTCTGGAAGCTCAAAGGGGCGAGGCGCGTGTCCGCCGCCGGCTCGCTCGGTGTGCCGCTCGCCCAGAGAACTCTCCCAGGGCCCCGCGCCCACCGCCTGGAGGCCACGGTGCCAGCAGATCGGGACGAGCAGGTGCTCTGAGGCCCGGCGGCCCGGGAGGAGCCTTGAAGATAGTGTGCTGGGGGTGCAGGGGGAGAGGCGGGGAAACTCCCAAGATAACTGGTAAAAACCCAAACTGGGATCTAAGTGTGGGAAGAGAAAGCGTCCGAAGGCTCCCTCGGCAGGCAGCGCTCTCGGAGGTGACGAGTCGGACGGCTCTCCGGGCGCCACCTCCCCGCAGAGCGACGCCCCGCAGCCCGGCTTCCCCGGGGAAGCGCAGGGGCGAGGCTGGCGTCTCCATCCGCAGGCCTTCCGACTGCTTTACTCTTGGCTCAAGTTTTATTGGTCAGTATTAGTCACCAGTTAATAAGAAAAATAGTTTCTAAGTGTCTTTTTCCCGCTCTGTGTATGTTGTTCTGTTTTTAATTGAGTTAATTGGATACCACCGTCAGGTTATGTGTGTTCAATCACAGCCATTAATTATTCCTTTTTCTTAAACTCTTGGTTTCCATAGCTGGAGCCCTTCTCTATTTCAGTCACTCCTATTAGTCGGCGGACTCCAAAGGAAGCTTTAAAATAGGAAAAAGGCGAGGTTAGACGGATTGCTTTGCTGTCAAGCTGGGAAAATCAAGCGGGGTGGCCTGCACCTTTGGCCTCAGACTCTCCCCCTCCCCCCGGGGCTGTGGGCCCCTCCCCCTCTTCCGTCTTCCCTGACGCGGCCGGCTGTGCACCCTGTCCGGGGCATAAGAGGCCCCTGCTCCTCCAGCCAGCAGGAGGTAGGGTGTGGGCTCCTGGAGGGGTGCAGTTCTCAGCCAGGTGCCCAGAGAGGCCATGTGCCCATCCGCCTTGCGAGAATAAAAACGTCCTGGGAGACTTCAGACCGTCACGCCAGCCCCCGCCCCCGCCCCTAAGTGCCCAAGTGCAACCTGAGTGGCCCAGGGCCCTCCCCACCCGGCTCTCAAAGCACTAGCCTCGCTGCTGCATGGATGCCTGGTGGGCGGATGGCCGGCCAGCCTTCTGGAGAGATGGCCCTAGAATCTGGCTGTGGTCTGAGCAGTCGGAGCCACATTCGGAGGCCAGCAAGGCTCAGGTGGGAGCCCAGCTGCCAGGGCACTGCGGCGGTACAGGACGACTCCCAACCTCAAGCCATGCCTGCGTTCCCGTCCATTACCTGCCCCGACAAACCCCAGGAACGTCAGGATCAGGAGCGGAGATCCACTGGCGAAGACCCCCAAGACAAAACTGAAGAGAGGAGACAGGAGAACCGTGGCCCAGGAGAGGAAGTTCAGGAGCGTCCATGGCCGCCGAGCAGGTTTGAACTGCTCCCCGGGGAACACACCCTTCTGGTTGTACATCTCCTGCAGCGCATCCTGGAAGAGGCAACCGGGAAAGTGGCTTCACATACTGCTGTCATAACACGACAGTGAAAAATGACTCTCCCCATAAACAGACTAGACGGACCACGCCTGCTGCAGGTGGGAGATGAAGTTGGAGTGACCATTGTGGGGAACCACGGCGGCTTGTACCAAAAGCTTGAAAAATTCCTTTCGACCTGGCAAGTTTCCTACAAAAACGATCACCCAGTGCCAGGCACACAACACACACCTCTGACCCCCAGGACTGCGCTGTCAGCCGGCCCCTTCTCTCCCCACTACATTTTAAGGCAAGGGCGGCGGCCACCCCTTGCTGGGACTTCAGCGGTCTGGCATCACCCCTGCCAGCTGCGTCACCCACGGAAAGCTACTTAACCTCCCCTTCCTCTGTGTCCTGGTGGCTAACGATGGAAGGAGGGAGGAGCAGGTGAGGACAGCAGAGCATCAACAGAGACACTGCGACATGTGCTCCACACTGGGCAGCAGCCGGCTGAAAAACCAGAACACCCAGCATAACAGGTTTCTCTGCAGCCGTGCCAAGAAGCATGTTAGCGAGAATGGAGATACACTCGTGATGTTTTAAGTTTTCTGAAAGGAGTTAAGTCCCACGTAATCCCGTGTAAATAACAAGTACGTGTGACTATGTACTGGTACAGGATCAAGGCTGGAAAGGTGTGCACCCGCTTGACCTGAGCTGCTCCGGGCAGTGGGATGTCACCTGTCTTCTTCTTTATTTTCTGCGTTTAATTTTCTACAGTTGTGGGGGTTTTTTTTACCTAAAAATGGGGCAAACACCCGGGGCAAACACCTGGCCTCGCAGCTTCTTCCAGCCTGCAGAGAGGCAGCTGCTCCTTTCGACCCAGGGGGCACAGGGTGGGCAACTTTCTGTGGCCTTTACACTGGAGCAGACTCCTGGGGGTGACCGCAGTGCTCCCTGCCCCACCTGGAAGGCCCCCCCCCGCGCGGGGCAAGAACATCTTCAAGCCCAGTCGGCGTCTCCGCTCTGAGCGCCTGACGCTACGCCCGCGGGCCAGGCCTCCCTCTCCGCCCAGAGCTCCTGTTGGGCGGAAAACCGTGGCCCCCGGTACAGGGGGCACAGGGCCTCCCGGTGGGCTCACAGTCCATGGCTGTTCAGGTGAGGTGGGCCCAGGGGGACACTGACAAACCAGAAGGCAGGCCCTTGCCCTGCAGGAGAGCACATCGTGGCCGCAGATTTAGACCAGGTTTGTAACAGGGTGTCTCTGGACCATCTGTGCACCACCCACGCGCACACACATGGTCCACCCAGGGCCCGTCCTCCCTGGCAGGGTGCCCTGTGGGGTGAGCCCTCAGACAGTGGTGTGACCTCCGTCTGTCCTGACTTGTCAGCAATTCCATACACAACTGAAAGGGCTCCTCTCCTCACACCCGTCCCACCAGCAGACGGCCCCCAGATGGTGGTCCCCCTTCCTGCAGGCCTGCTCTGCTTCCACTGGTTCCTCCAGGAGCCCTGAGCACCCCCCCAACCCCAGCTTTGTCATTCTGGGAGGCACACGGCAGGGTCCAGGGCTAGCCAGGATCTGCCCATCATCTCCAGCCGGCTACTCAACTCCTCGGCTGGAGTCCCCTCGCCTGTGCTCTGCTGGCAGGCAGAGGTGCAGCTAAGCAAGGTGACCATCACTGGCTCTCCGGAGGACAGGCCTGCCACACATGTGCTGCTGCTGTGACCAAAGGCATAAAGTGCCACGCCTTTCAGAAGTGTGTGCATTACAGCAGGACCAAAGAACTGAGTTTGTCACTTCAGGGTCTGTATCTCCCTGGCAGGGGGCAGTGGGACCAAAAGTGTTCCAGACCCTGCCGTCTCTCCTCAAGACAGGGAGAAAAAGCAACTCGTGCTCAGCTGGGGGATGAAGCACAGCTTAGAAAAGTTCTGCAAGGGCAGACGGGCTTCCGCCGCCAGTCACAGGGCTAGTGTCTCACAGAAACACTCCCACACTTGCATAGCTAGTTCATAAATGTTCACAGATGGGAAGACACTTAACTAAAACGGGGTGTCATCACATGGTGGAGCTCGGCATCTGAAAGGAATGGATTAAATCTGTCTATGTCCATGTTGACAGACAGAAAAAACAACGGTCACTAGAAACAGAAAAAGATGGGAGACCATGACACGCAGTATGGTGTCCTTAATGCACATTAAAATATAAGTTTTACAAAAAGCAGTATTATATGTTTCAATATTAAAGGAGAACATAGAAAAATACCCGTATAAATCAGTTACATCAAAACTTGTATCAGATTGTTTTAGAAAGCCCCCCTTACAGACTGGAGATGAGGCCTGTGGTTTCCCCTCTAGAATCGTCATGCTTGTGGTTGGGGGGCAGATCTCCATCCCCAGGAAGGGTTTACACCTGCACTACCTGTGCATGGGCACTTCTACAGTAATATACGGTACTGCTCCCGTGCCGGGCACCTCTACTACAATATACGGTACTGCTCCGGCCTCCTGTGATCTTCTGAGAGTAGTGTCCTACCATCCACCCACTGCAAATCTGCTGTTTTTACACTTAACATTCTCAAGATTCAGTTAGACTGATAATACACAGTTCATTCACTGTAACTGAATCACCGCAGATGAACACGAATACACAATGGCCTCGGTCCTAATCACACACCTTTAGCTTATTTCTCATTTCCTGCTAAACGCTGTTGCGTGCACGTCACTCCGTGGAAGAGTTTCAAACTTAAAACTTGACCCAGATCCAGAGACGCGCTCTCCGCTGCAGCCTCCTGCGTGCGCGGTCCCTCTGCCCATCCATCTACCTGATGCGCACACACTGCGTTTCTTTTCTGTTTAGGTTTCTTTATCTTCTGGAGAGGCTTTGAATGTTCTTGGAAATCACACATTTTATCCAAGTTTCCAAATGTATGCGCATGAAGTTACTCGTTTTGCTCCTCTGTTCTTTTCACTCCCTGCTCTTCGGTGGTGCCATCTTTTCTATCCCCATTGATACTGTCACTCTTTTTAAATTGGTCAGTCTTGCCCAAGGCTTTCTATTTTATTAATATTTTTATAGAAAAGCTTTGGTGCCACAGATTCACTCTTTTGTGGCGTTGCTTCCTGCTTAAATAATTTATGCTCTTTATTTTCTTTGTTCTTTCCCTGGGTTTACTCTATTTGGGGTGTGTGTGTACAATGCGTGTGTGGGTGTGTGTGTACATACGTGTGCACACGCCCGTTCTTTCTGTCCATCCTGTTCCACACTTGTGCTTCCTGAACCTGATGAAACCACGTTCAGAGTTCCGGAAGCTGCATGTTACCGCCGACCACTCTTCTGAGCTTCTCCTCTGGACCTCCCCCTGGACACACTGTTTCCCGTCCGTGTCCTCACCTCCCTTTCGTGTTCCCACTTCCTCTGCGCTGCTGCTGGGCAGCGCCCTCAGCGCCTCCCGGTTCGCCGCCTCCCCCTCTGGCCGTGGCTTCACAGCCACTAGGCTTCCTATGCCTGTGCATTCTACTGGGTTTTTCTCAGATCTGTCTCTTTCTTAGAAAGGTCTTGTTCCTTTGTTCTCAATTCCTTCTCTTTTGCTTAATCATTTCAAACACAGTGATTCTGGTTGCTGCCTGGGAGCCCCACAGCGCAAGCTTAGTTTTCTGTCTGTGTGTCTGTCGCACCTGCCTGTGGCGGGTCTTGCTGTGAGCATGTCTCTGGCAGACGCTCGCCTGAGGGAGTCGGAGCAGCTTAGGCTTGGGGTCGTGCTCGTCCAGCTTCACACGTGCTTCTCTCGGGGATACTAGGGCGATCACGTGGAACCACTTTTATGCTGCTGTTTTGGCTTTGTTCTTCCTAACCCGTGCTGTTAGTATAAATTCAAACCCTGCACCTGTCTGCGGATAGCACCATGGTTATGAGTTACCAGGGAGACTTTTCAAGACCAAGAGGGGAAAGGCCAGCTTCTGAGTCACTTCCTGTGCTGGCAGGTACATTTTCCAGTTTCACTTCTCTGAGGGCGAAGCTCCCTGAGGATCCCAGCTTCACTGGGGTCTTCAGTTCTAGCTTCTGGCCTTGAGTGCAGGCAGACCTTCGTCTTCTGTTTCCACGTGGGCACTGAAACTCGACTTCAGGCTGTGGGGACCAGCGAACTCCACGAGCTTCCACCCACCGCCTTCCCTCCCGGCCTTCAGCCCCCCTCTTTGATCCCTAGAGAGCTCCCCTACAATCTTGGAGCTTGCTGATGCATTTGAAACGCTGTGTGTTACATACTGGCGGGATTTTCTGACTACCTAAGCCTCCCTTAATGCTGAAAATGAATACCTAGTGTCTGTATGTTTGTGTCCATAACATAAACTGGAAGTAAGAGTCAGAGGTGAAGCGTCCTTGGGGGAGTGGGGAAGGGTGAGGTCATCACAGGAAGCCTGTCATGTCATCTAGATTGTAATCAGCCATATGTATACACACGTACAGTGTGTTACAGAGCTGTGATTTCCTTTACATGAGAAAAAGGAAACGAATGTAATGAAGTGTTACCGGCCACGGGCATACAAGAGTTAGGATACCCTTAAGACTTTTCTCTGGTTTGTCAATTTCTCAGAAGCTAAGAAAAACGAAGGAAGAAAGAGAAGGATCAGAAAGAAGGATCTGAGGACGGCGCGGCGCTCCTGTCCCCAGAGCCAGGCTGTGTGACGCCCGCCTGCCCTGTGGGCCGCCCCTTCGACATCTCTTCATGAGACCCTGGGGTGCCGGGAGGGGGGCTAAGGCCTTTACCTTCTCCTGGTACAATTTATGAAGCCACTGAGCCGCTTCCTTTTCATCCAGTGGAATCTCTTCCAGAGGAAATCTCCTGTTTTATTAAGAAAAGTGAAAGCAAAGTGAATCACCAGATGACATCAGACTGGAAAGGGGAGAAACAAATCACTGTGCATCAGGGCTGGTTGTCTATCGTGCCTTTTCTATTCAAATCTGACTCTCAATTTCTGAAAGCACACAAATGTCAAAGCAGCCTCTCCCTGGGCATCCGCTGGTGCTCCGAGGGGGCTGGGAGGCGCTCTGTGTTCACGGGACCGCGGGAGTACCGCACAAGGGACACCCGGGAGCAGGTAGCTGAGCGGGCCCCGCCCCCAGCTCCACTGCGAAGGCTCATCGTTTTTTGGCAAGAGTTCTGGTCTCTCTTAATAGTTCATTCCTTGGAAGTAACCTTGACTGGGTGTGTCTCATGATTACGAGTTTCACAAATGAAATCTACAGCTTCAAATATGAAGAGCAAGATAGATTTAGAAACTTTAATCTCAATTAACAAATGACTGACTTCAATTAGGAAACGGATTTACATTTAACCTCAACACCAGCTGGCCTGCCAGCCCCACAAGGAGCAGTGTCTACCTGGTGAGACACGGCAGGGCAGGGGCCACGTGCCACGGCCACTGTAGTACCTCAGCATCGCCGGGAGGGGCTGCCGAGTGCACACGTGAGCTAGAATACTTAACCCAGGGCCTGGCTGCCCATCGGGGAAGGACCACAGTGAGAGAAGAGACAGGAGAAATTTCCACGGCCAGAGGTAAATCTCCTTGTTTCAAGGTGTCGTCATCTTTTTCTCTCTGAGAACTGAGAACGTCAGGTTTTGTGTGTTTTACCTGTTGGTCTTTACCATATTCTAAATGAAAACTTGAGAAATTTTACAAGCATGCATGTGATCAGACATCCGAGCAATGCTGGTGCCACACATCACGCAGCCTCTGGGAAACTACTGTATGCGCAAAGGAGTGAGGAAGACATATAACCTCCTAGTAAACAAAATGGGTTAACTTTGTGGACCATCAGTAGCAGGTATGGAGCTGACACAGAGGCGGGGCTGCACGATTTGTACACACACAGGGAACGCCCTGCCTTTCTGGCAGTGGAAAGGTGCTGGGGGGCTCCAGGAGTCCCCAGACCACAGATACCACTTCAGGAAGGGAAGGCATCCCCCAGGGCTCTGCCAAGGGGGCCGGGAGGTGCTTTGTGCTCATGGGACAGTGGGAGCACCACACAAGGGATGCCCAGGAGCAGTCAGAAGGGGTTTGTCTACAGAGAGAGACGACCACCAAAGTGTCAAACTCACATGACTGTGCTCCCCTGATTTCATATGTGTGACATATATGCCATATATAGGCTCTGCTGTACATCTATTACATGCAGGATAAAGTATATAAAATAACTTTAAATGATGATAATAAATACAATATTTATTAAATACTTCATGAGGCAGAGAAGCTTGGAAAGTCAGAGCATGGCAGTGACATGGCCCATCTCCGGGAATGACTCTGATCCCTGACCCTGAGCTTGTGTTTTAGACAGGGATCTACTCTCCAAGTGAAGCCTCAAATGCATTTCAGAATGAGCCCAACCAGTGGCCCAGGACAGCTCCCCTCTGACCCTGAGATCCCTGCCCCTCTGGGCCGAAGTCACCAGTGCCAGCAAAAAGTCACTCCGGAAGCAGTGCAGCTTCTGGAAGTTTCCGTAGGAGGGAGAGCCTGCACTGCCCCCTCGGGGAGATATCTGGGTTTCTACATGGGCTGAAAGGCCAGCACCCTGTGTCCACCTTAGGGAGCCCCCTGGGGCCTCCAAGGAGGTGGGAGGAAGGGGTGCAAGGGCCCCTCCCTTCCCATCCAACTACAAACTAGGGAGAAGGGCAACCATGTGGTCGTTTCCCTCCCTCTGCTCCCAGAGTGTGCCTGGAGCACAGCCTGCCTGCCTGAGGCCTGGGGGGGGGGATCCAGGGAAGGTACCCCCTCCACGCCCCACGGTGTTCAGGTTCCAGGCAGGCCTTGGGACAGGCCCGTGAGCCGCAGCCACCTTCCCCCAAGCCCCACGGTTCTGCAGCTGCAGCAGCGAAGCCTTGCAGAAACTCCGTTCTCTCTGATCCCGCTGCCTGCCTTCACCTATCTCTACCCTCCTGCTCTGCATACAGTAGACACTCAATAAATGCTCACTGCACAGGTTAACCAGAACAGTTTCTGATAACCTGGGGACATTTTAAGGGCTACGTGGGGCCCCGCTTCCGACTGAGGTTTGCTTCTGGAGATTTCTCCGGTGTCCCTGCGGCCAGCCAGCCCCAGCAGCCCTGCATTAACCAACCGGATGTCCCTGAGGCAGGGCTGACTGAGCAGTGCGGCTGAGGCTGGCTGGGGTGGAACCCCAAGGCTCAGCCCAAGGTCGCCAGGAGCTGGAGGCCAGGTGCGTGGCCGAGGTCAGGGCGGCCGTACACCATGAAGGGGGGCCACGTGGGTGTTCCACTTGGGCTGGGACAGCTTGTCCTTCTCCTGCCTGTGGAAGTCCTACACACCGCGCAAATCTTAGCTCAGACGCTTCTTCCGAAAAGCCCCTGCTCCCTTCAAGGGAGGGGTCACTCTTCCCTCAGAGCTTCTGAAGCATCCTGCATGCACCTCGCACCCCACTCCTTGGCTTCCTACTGTCCTCCCTGGTGCGGTCCTGGCTGGAGGTGGAACTCCGCACCACCCCCACGTGGGAGCAGAGGAGGTGAGAGGGGCGGTGCGCCGCGAGCCCCGCCCCGCCAGGCCCCGCCCCCGCGGAGCAGGCTGAGCTCACCTCACACACATGTCCGCCTCGTACTTCTTCCCGTACAGGATCCCCAGCAAAGACGGGTTCTTGTTTCCTCGGAAATTCAGCGTGACGTCGTAGACAGCTGCGACTGCAGGGAGGGGCGCAGAGGGTGAGCGCTGCCAGCGGACATCCTGCAGCCCGGCCCACCGCGGTTTGCGCCTGGATCGCTGGCTTCTGCGGGTTCCCATCCCTTCCTGGCGCATCCAGCGGACTCACATCACCGGACTTACCGGCACGTTTGAGCTTCAGGTTACTGTCTGGCTGCTTCCTACCCGTCCTGCTCTTTGTCCCCTTCTTTTCTCTTGCCTCCTTTTGGCTTAATTTGCTATATATATATCCCCCCCCTTTAAGGTTTTAGTTACACACTTTTTAATTTAATTATCACTTCAGTTATTTTCCGTTAACTAGTATTTTATCAGCTCAAAAATGACTCAAGAATCCTACAGCACGTAGGTCCGCTTACTCGATTCTCCCTGTAGGGCTAGCGGCCTCCCGCACTTTACGCGAATTCACTTATTTGCGTTCTGGCAAATCACTGGCTTCGCGTCTCGCTCTGCTCGGAGCGCAGGGGCGGCGCGGCCCCGGCGGGGCGCTCACCTGTCCCGCGGAGGCACTGGACCGCGGTGGTGAAGCCCTTGGTCCGAGGCAGCAGGTGGTACTTGAGGGCGGGCAGCCCTTTGGAGGCGGCCACCTCCATGCTGACGCGGTGCTTCTTCTCCGTGAAGCGCGTGCCCTCGCAGTACAGGAGAAACTGGGCCGGACCCGGGACGCGGGTC